TTTTTTGAAAATTTAAATAAATTTTAAAATTCTGAATATATTTTGAAAGTCTGATTTTTTTAATTAAACAAATTTTTGATTTTTTAGAAAAATTATACAGAATTTGAAATTATAAATATTTTTAGAATTTGAACAAAATTTTAAATTCTAAACATTTTTTAAAATTTAAATAATTTTTGAAATTATGATGTTTTAAAGAATTAAACAAAATTTGAAATTATGGACATTTTTAGAAAATTTGAACAATTTTGAAATTCTGAATTTTTTGAAATTTTGAAATTCTGTTTTTTTTAATTTAAATAAATTTTGAAATTCTGAATATCTTTTGAAAATTTAAACAACATTTGAATATTTTTTGAAAATGTAAACATATCTGGACATGGTCTGGTGGGTGGGGACGAGGATCAGGGCAGTATGGCTACCTTCATGCACCCTCTCTGGGGTGCATGAGATGAGCATGGCTGAGGGCCCTTTTTGCATCAGATTGGTATAGCCCAGATGAGCCCATGCACCATAGCAAACAAGCAAAAATGGGTAGGATTGGGAACTTTTGCGCTCATACACCCTCTATGCACCATACCAAACACACCATTACTTCTCTAACTCGATCTTCTCCGTCTCAATTTCGAGCTTCTTCTCCGCCCTCTTCCGGTCTGACTCCATCATTTTCTTTTGCGCAGCCAACATGAGATTGTACCTCTCCTCTTTCTTGTTCTCCCTTATCGAAAAAAGCCCGTCCATGTGGACGACATTTTTGTAGCCGCAGCGTCACGGGAGGCCCGTGCCTTCTCCCAGCTGTTTCCCATGACTTGTCAATTATCCTTTGGCACGGTGGCTCTTCCATTCGTGAAGACAGTGTCGTCCTCTTCATCGTCCAACCTAATTGATTGGTGGGAGCTTGAGCCATCATCCCTCTTTTTGCCGAACTTGAGATCAGCCACAACTTGGTTCCACTTCGGCTTGCCATTCAATATGATCCAACAATGACTAAAAGCAAATAGCTTCTTCTCCACCTTGTGATACAAAGTGGCTGCCACCGCCGTCTAGCAAAGAACATATGTATGAGCACGAGAATGTAAAGACGAGAAGCACATGCAAATGACGATAAGATGAAACAATTGAGCTTACGTGAGTTGTCACTCCCATCCCACTTTGAGGGCATTTGGTCAATATTGAGTAGTAGCCAACATACTTGTTCACTTTCCCTTGAATGAACCCACATCGATGTTGTAGAGATGCCACATTGCAGGTGGTCACGATAGGATGCGGCTCCACATACTCCTTTTGTTGGTGACACTCCTTCCAAATCTTCTCCCAATACGTGTTCCCCTTTTGCTCCATGCCACATATTGGATCCATTGTTGTGGCCAACCAAGTTTTGACCAACAAGATGTCCTTAAATATTGAGAATGTCGGACATCTTGCCTTCGCTATCTTGGTCTTCTTTTTCTTTTTGCTCGGATTGGGATCAGATGTTGCCCAACTTCAAATATGGTGGTGCCCTTCAATTCATACTCCAATTCGGTCATATTTTCATTGTCATTGATCATGTTTGACAAGAACGCCTCCTACATGATCATGGTTTGCAAGCATTCATGATGTGCAAAATGAACTAGTGATCTATGAAAAAATTGATCGGACAAGAGCAAGAAAACGTACCAACTCTTGTTTTCTCATTCCATGGAACATGTCGAGGGCAGCCCGGGCGGAGCTGGTGCTCGTGCTCATCCGCGCCCGAACGAGCTGCGGTGAGTCACATACATCGACCGCTGGCATTTGCGTCGACGGAAAACTCTTCGGAATGGCCTAGTTGACTGTCGAATTCTCCTTTGTACCAACGGGGTCGGACGGCGTAATCCGCGTCGGCGCTCGGATGGAAGGGGTGTGGAGGTCCAGGTGCGACAGAGAAGATAGCTGCTCCACCATGTCTGAACCTCCCTGCGCCGCCGCCGATGCCTCCCTCTCTCGCTGCTGGCGTCGCTGCAACTTCCGGGTGACGTCATTCGCCTTGCGAGATGGAGCCAACGAAGGGACGCCGACGGATGAGGCCTCGCGGCGGTCGGGGACGGGTTGGACGACATCTCCGGCGGTGTATCGGGACAAGTGGTGAGGATGGTAAGCAAGGATGGAGGACGGCGAGGGCTCAGGCGCGGGAAAGTTTGAAGGGCGGCGGGAGAATAAGGAAGGGCTTGATGCATTTGGTGTAATTGGAGATGGGGTCATGCTGTAAGTCCGACGTGAAGGGTGTGCCTGGGCACGCCCGGACGCCCCCATATCCGCCTCATATTTGGCTAAATATAAGAGGTGTCGGTCAGCCCGAACGTTTAAGGCCCATTTAAGAAATCCATCTGGATCGAAATTTTGTGACCAGACAGTGACCGAGCGACCTGCCCGGTATGAGACCGGTTTGATGGCGCCCGGCTATAAATGGTCCGATCTAATATTGACGGAGCTAGTACTAGTATTCTCGGTGAGCTGGAGGGAAGCGTCTCACTGCGTGCCACTGCGTGCCATTCAGAATTTGGACTGGATCGCGCCACACGAAAACGCGGAGCTCACTGCAAACGTCATGCCACTATCCCACTGGATCAAATGCAGATGCTGGTACAAGCTTCCCCTGGCGTAGCCAACGTATTACCTCATCGGGCCAATCTTTTTACATAGTAGTACATTAGACGGCCAGGATCGTCCTGGTGGAGCAGAGCACACACGCAAGAGCCAAGCTCCAAGTCAACACATCCACGTTACGACCAATTTTCTACTCATATTCGGGCGGAACAGTGCGCTAGTGATCTTATCCACCCTCGAAACGATGTCAAATTCTCAATTAATTAGTTGAACGAATCCCGTCGATAATCGTGCCCCCGCGAGGAGCACGGCCCGACTAAACAAGCAACAGGGAATAGTCGCTCGTGTCGCCCAGAAGCTAAGCACGCCGCACATGTGCACGTTGTGATCAATCACAGCGTGGGAGGAGTCAGACCAGCAGCAGAGTCGCGCAGGGATAAGCCATCCAGCACGGGGATCTGGGATCTCTTCCCATCATCTCCCACGCCCAACCACCGACGGACCTACACCAGATTCCCGGAGGTCCCCTCCTCCGCCTGCCCTGCGGCAGGCCATCGTAGTAGGTTGGTTGGCTACGGCGCGTTTCGATTGGTCGGCTCTCCTCCTTCCACTTAGCCGCCTTCTCCTCCATACCTTCCCATCTGAATCTCTCGCCTTGCAACTGGCCATAGGGGCCATACATACGGTCACAGACGGGGGACGGCGTCCGACCTTGTAGAGTTTGATGTCTACAAGAAACAACCTCTAGCCGCGTTTGAATGCGAGGTGCAGCCCTCAAATTAATCCCTCTAGAAAATGGCATGCATACGTTTACTATGTAGAGGAATTTGATTCATCTATATCTTAACGAGCTAATTTTTTCTCAAGTCTTAATCAATTTTAAAAAAACAACGTTTCTTTTGAAACAAGAAAAGTGTATCTTAGTTTAGTATGTTCATTGTTTTTTGAGATAGCTCACCATCCATGCTGAATGGTGATCTTAGTTTAGTACTCCCTTCGTTCTTAAATATAAGTTTTCTTACAGATTCCACTATCGACTACATACGGAACAAAATAAGTGAACCTACAATCTAAAATATGTCTATATACATCTGTATGTAGTTTGTAGTTGAATGTCTAAAAAGACTTATATTTAAGAACGGACGATGTATAAAATAAAATAAAAATGTGACCTTAGTTCTTTGTGCATGAGCAAAATGTTCGATTCACTCGTGAGGAAATCCTGGAAAATTTCGCAAAGAGGTGGCAACTCTGTTAAGTGCAAGAAACGACCTCTAGGGACGTTGAATGTGAGAAGTATCACCATGTCACTCTAGAAAATGACATGCACATGATTAAGTAAAAAATCACGTGAATTCTTGCACTTTGATCATGTCTTTGTCAATATCAATAGTGGTGAGCCTATCCCACTTCCCACATTCGCCACCATGGCCTTGCGTTATGTTGCCTCCTTCTTTTCGCTGCCCTTACTCCACCCTCCTCTCCCGCGTATAATGGCTACCATCGGATCTATCCATTGCTACCCATCATGGCGTCTCAGCTCTTATGTGGTTACCATGGTCGAAGGAGGGAGAAAACAGTTATATAATTAGAACAATTTTGGCCCAAATTTTAATGTCGATGAAGTGCGAGGAAATTGCCTGAAGTTTCACCGAGAGGTGTCACTTCTGTTTTCTAGGAGAAGACAACTTTACTCATAAAAAAACAGCATTGCTACAAATTGCGATAAAATAAAGTCCGGAAGCCCATTCTAGTGCCCACGGTGCTATATTGTGGTTCTGAAAGGAAATTGAGCAAGGCAGTTACTAGCTAAGAACGATGTTTTACTCATGAATAAATTTTTATTTTTATTTTTGCAAATTTCTACACATGAACATCGAGTAACCCATCTTCTTTTTCTTTCTTGGCGAGCAATAAACTACCGCAGCTCAAAGAAGAAGAAAAGTCCACAAGTAAATTAAAACCCACCGGAGTCAAATCCTTCCACCTCCTTACCACCATCCTTCTCATCTCCAATCCTCCATCCACACGGCACCTTATCTTCAACATAAACAAACCCAACAAATAACCCATTATTTTAGTAAAACGGAGCATTTATAATGAACCATTTCACATGAACACGTCAAAAGAATTAGCCCCTAAACAAACCCATCCTGTCGACGTCCATGACACCTTCTACCATAAACAAAAAAGATGGTTCAAAAAAATCCCACCAGAAGGGATAGAAATATCCGATTGGTCCAGCGGACTTAAGAGGGAGAAAACAAAACGATTGGGAGAATCTGGGCCCACCACTCCCCCATCTCCCCTCCTATAAAGCGACCTCCGATACCATCGTCCATGGAGAACAAAAGCAAGAAGTCTGCTACCCAATCCCATCTACTGCTCCCCCATCTCTCTTCCTGCTCGGTGGTGTACTTGTGGTGTCGACGATGAGGAGCTCCATGGCTCTGCTGGCGGCCGCGGCGGCGCTGCTGCTGCTGGTGTCGCTGGCGGCGGCGGCGGACATGTCGATCGTGTCGTACGGGGAGCGGAGCGAGGAGGAGGTGCGGCGGATGTACGCCGAGTGGATGTCCGAGCACCGCAGGACGTACAACGCCATCGGCGAGGAGGAGCGCCGCTTCGAGGTGTTCCGGGACAACCTCCGCTACATCGACCAGCACAACGCCGCCGCCGACGCCGGGCTCCACTCCTTCCGCCTCGGCCTCAACCGCTTCGCCGACCTCACCAACGAGGAGTACCGCAGCACCTACCTCGGCGCCCGGACCAAGCCGGACCGGGAGCGGAAGCTCAGCGCCAGGTACCAGGCCGACGACAACGAGGAGCTGCCGGAGACCGTCGACTGGAGGAAGAAGGGGGCCGTTGCTGCCATCAAGGACCAGGGCGGCTGTGGTAAGCATCCTCGGCTGATCTGCTGCTGCTGCTTCTATTTTGTTTCCTTTTTACAGTAAAATTTGTCTTCTTTCATATTATCGGTAGATACCATCTGTTTCAAGTGAAGATTCTTGCGACTGGTATATTCCAATCTGTTGCGTAAATTAGGAACTTTGTTGGTCAACGTGCCATGGTTCAGTATACACATGAACAGAAAGCAGGGGAACTTGCAATAATTGGTGCTGCTGAGAGGCTTCACCTAAACGATTTGGACAGTGAAAAGGGGGATCTGTGATTCCATGTTAGGCATATAAGGTCAGATAGTAAAATAAAAGTCTGCTAAGTTAAAATTTATTTTTGTAGGATGTCTTAGTTAGTCTCTAGTATGTTATAGAGTCATTCAGTTTTCAGCAGCCGGGACACCTTATTTTCAGTATGTGCTTCTGTCTGAACTCCTTGTATCACTTGCTAAATTCAGTGGTAGTACCGATTGATTTACTACTGTAAACTGGAAGTTCAGAGTACTGATTGATTTACTACTGTAATATGGAAGTTCAGTAGAGCTCTGTTAGCATGATCTTCATGAGTTTGGAAAGTAGGTTCATTGAACATGGACACTAAGATTCCATTAGGCTGTTGGAGTATGCAATAGAGGAAAATTATATAGTAGTGGCGGTCATTGTCTACTCCCTCCGTTCCTAAATATTTGTCTTTTTAGAGAGTTCAAATGGACTACCACATACGGATGTATATAGACATATTTTAGAGTGTAGATTCACTCATTTTGCTCCGTATGTAGTCACTTGTTAAAATCTCTAGAAAGACAAATATTTAGGAACGGAGGGAGTAGTTGATAAGCTGGCGGTCCCATTTGTCCTGTTATTTGTTGGATGGTCTCACCATCCCCCTCTGCTATTAGTTGACATGATTACATTAGGCCCTTCCCTCACGACTCTTTGAACGTTTCGCCGTCTGATTGGTAGCAGGTCTACATCTGCAATTTCAAGAAATTTGTAGTACTATGTATTGTTGCTCTGTTACTACTTGCCACTTGTATCAGTGCATTGAACTTCAACTAAAATCGTGACACAAAGATACCAGAATCTGATATTTGTTTGTCTTTTCCAGGAAGCTGCTGGGCTTTCTCAGCAATAGCAGCTGTTGAAGGCATCAACCAGATTGTTACAGGCGACATGATCCCTCTGTCCGAGCAAGAGCTTGTTGACTGTGACACTTCATACAACGAGGGATGCAATGGAGGTCTGATGGACTATGCGTTTGAGTTCATCATTAACAATGGTGGTATCGACTCTGAGGAGGACTACCCCTACAAGGAGAGGGACAACCGTTGCGATGCTAACAAGGTATCATCCGTCTTCGTAGTTACCTTCTGAATTTTAAGAACGTGCATCATACTGATATTCTGTTCCATTCGTGTTTGGGGGGAATTTGCAGAAAAATGCGAAGGTTGTTACCATTGATGGGTACGAGGATGTGCCCGTGAACAGTGAGAAGAGTCTGCAGAAGGCAGTTGCAAACCAGCCCATCAGTGTTGCGATTGAGGCTGGTGGCAGGGCATTCCAGCTCTACAAATCGGTGAGCTTCTTTAACATCACTGTTCTGCAGTAGGTTTGATGAATGAGTAGGCGCCAAAAGGTTATGGTACCTCCTTATTTCCAAAATAGATAGGTATCATTCTGATTGAGAGAGCTTGGGGACATTTTCTCTTAATGGTATGAATATGTTACTCTGTTAGGCCCACACACCTAACTTCTATTATCGTCTCCTTCACTAAAATAATTTTGTTGTTGTCCTCACCTCAGTTGCAATCTGCAACTACTACCCCTTAACTATGATTAACTTGGACGCAGCCTGACTCTTGCATGCTTTGACATCATCCATATAATTTGCACTTTTCTAATCTTCTAGAGTATCATTTCTGTGCGCTCATCATGCCTATCTGTCCCTGCTTTAGGAAGCACTTTTAGTGCACGGGTCACTTTTATGTGTTCACATCTATAATATATTGGATTAAGTGGTCTGAGCTATCACCCACTTCTGCTGGAAATCAACAAAGTAGAACATCAGATTCTGAAGATGTTTAAACCCTTTTCGCTACTCATTTTGATCAAACAGTAAAAGGGGAAGTGCAGAGTACGAAAGAAACAACTCAAATAGCATCTTCAGATAAAACTGTTGTCAATTAGTAAACTCCTCGACGAGGTGTAACTAGCATTTTGAAATCGATGAGTTTGACCTTTCGGAAGCATCCAAGTTACTGATTATCATTTCCTATTCTCTTAGGGTATCTTCACCGGAACCTGTGGAACAGCACTTGACCATGGTGTCGCCGCCGTTGGTTATGGTACAGAGAACGGCAAGGACTACTGGCTCGTCAGGAACTCCTGGGGTACCGTCTGGGGAGAGGATGGTTACATCCGGATGGAGCGTAACATCAAGGCATCCAGTGGCAAATGTGGTATTGCCGTCGAGCCTTCCTACCCGACGAAGACGGGCGAGAACCCTCCTAACCCCGGCCCAACCCCGCCGTCTCCCGCCCCACCGTCTTCGGTCTGTGACAGCTACAACGAGTGCCCCGCCAGCACGACCTGCTGCTGCATCTACGAGTACGGCAAGGAGTGCTTCGCCTGGGGCTGTTGCCCACTTGAGGGTGCTACCTGCTGCGATGATCACTACAGCTGCTGCCCTCATAACTATCCCATCTGCAACACCCAGCAGGGAACCTGCCTCGCGGTAATAGCTCAGACCATTTTATAATGTTTTCTTCAGTTAATGTGGTTATGATGTCATGTAAATCACTAGCAAGTTGACTAAGAGTCTTAGGTACTATCTGATTCTAACTGGTTTTTTTGCTTCATGAACAGGCCAAGGACAGCCCACTGTCAGTGAAGGCTCAGAGGCGTACCCTGGCCAAGCCTATCGGTGCTTTCTCTGGCATTGCAACTGACGGCAAGAAGAGCAGCGCGTAAACATTTGCATCACGACATTCGTACAGCCAACGGCCATGGTGATTAACTTCTGCAAATGATCACCTGGTGATCCACAATCGAAGGCGCAGCATGGCGATAGCTATGCTCTCTAGTATCTTCTTTATAATAGATGCTCCTGTACATAATCCTAAAATCGGGTTCGGTCGTTTACAGAACCACCAAATTTGCTTTTGCATATGTATATGTAAAACTCAGCTCATTCCCTCACAGTTTGGAGCTGCCATTGTTATTATGGAATTCATCAAGAAACATGATAAGCAGATTGCAGTATTGATGCATAGTTCTCGTGTATGATGCTTATGTTGCCCGCTGGTCAATTACTTAGCTTTGAATTTTATTGCCTCTGGAACGTTCGTGTGGAGCTATTATGATTTTTTTTGAAAATGGAGGCGTAACCCTGGCCTCTGCATCATAATGATGCATGCAGTCATCTTATTAAAAGATTCATGAAGTATCACAAAGTCATAAAAGTATTACAGCTCGCAAGTGGAGCGAAACTAGAAAAAGAAAACAATGCGGACGATCACAACCGGTACGGCAATATGAAGGTAGTGAGTAAGGACCACATATGGATCCAATCGGTAGCTCTAAAGATGACCTGAATAAGAGCGCACATATTTCAATCGGAATACAAGCCGCAGTAGTATGCTCAACCCCAGCTAACCACGTTCCAAACAACGACTCAATGTCAACTAGAGGATTTCATTATGATCACAAGAACAACAACGTGAACTGCCTACCCATCACCTCTTGATTAAGTTGTCCTTGGTGAGTGTTACTTGCTTGTGGACGAACCACATAATTTTTTTGATACGCAAGGGCACCTTAACCATCCAAATATGCAATGATCGTGCGATTGGGCCAAAGTTAATTAAATCCAAATAGAAGGATTTGAACGTAAAACCCCCAGTTTTAGTTAATTTCCATTGAGTCATATCCGGGTGGTCGGAGAGTTGAACATCGATCAATCTCCGAACCAAGTGCATCCAGGCATTCCATCGCTCACCAACTAACGCGCGTCTAAACTGAATATTCAAGGGAATCGTTTGGAATACTGTGCCAACGTAATCCTCTTTACGTTGCACAATGTTATAAAGGGTGGGATATTGTACAGCCAGGGGAGTCTCCCCTAACCACGTGTCCTCCCAAAATCTTGTTGACATCCCATTGCCAACCAAGAATTTGACCCTACGAAGGAACAAGTCCTTCGTTCTTATCAGCCCCTTCCAGAATGGCGAGTCAGTTGGTCTTATGGTAACCTGAGCGAGCGTTTTCGACTGTAAATACTTATTGCGTAGAATCTGAGCCCACATGCCATCCGGCTCAATCTCTACCTACAGAGCCATTTGCTCATAAGGCATTTGTTCTTGATTTCTAAGTTCTCAATATCGGGACCCCCTAGTCTTTAGGTCGGCAAAGGATATCCCATCGCGTGAGACGGTATTTCCACTTGGCCTCATCTGACTGCCAAAAGAACCGAGATCTGAAGAAATCAAGTCGTTTCCGAACCCCTTTCGGAATTTCAAAGAACGATAATAGGAACATCGGCATACTAGTCAGTACGGAATTAACTAGTACTAGCCGACCTCCATAAGACATAAGCTTGCCCTTCCAGCAGCTCACCTTTTTTTCAATTCGATCTTCGATACACTTCCATTCTTTGTTGGATAGCTTACGGTGATGAATCGGTATGCCCAAATAACTAAATGGTAAAGAACCTAATTCACACACGAACAATTGTCTATATGTGTCTTGTTCATCTTTGGCCTTCCCAAAGCAGAACAACTCGCTCTTGCGAAAGTTTATCTTTAAGCCTGACAATTGTTCAAAAAGACAAATGATGAGTTTCATATTGCACGCCTTAGCAATGTCATGTTCCATGAATAAGATAGTGTCGTCAGCGTACTGTAAGATGGATACTCCTCCATCAACAAGATGAGGGACTAACCCCTCCACCTGACCATGCTGCTTGGTCCTACCAATGAGAATGGCCAGCATATCAGCCACTATGTTCAACAAGAGAGGAGACATGGAATCCCCTTGTCTCAAACCCTTATGCGTCTGAAAATAATGACTGATATCATCGTTAACCTTAATGCCGGCACTACCCTTCTAGACTTGAGACCCCACTTGGTTCCGCCAGACTTCACTAAAACATTTCATGCGCATTGCCTGCTGAAGAAAAGGCCATTTAACTTTATCATATGCCTTCTCAAAATCCACTTTGAAGATAAACCCATCTAGCTTCTTTGAATGAATCTCATGAAGCATTTCATGCAAAATGACCACCCCTTCAAGTATGTGTCGCCCTGGCATGAACGTTGTCTGGCTCGGTTGTACTACTGAATGAGCAATCTGCGTCAATCTATTGGTACCCACATTTCTGAAAATTTTGAAACTCACATTGAGAAGACATATGGGCCTAAATTGCTCGACCCGAACAACCTCTTCTTTCTTTGGCAACAACGTAATCATGCCAAAGCTAAGATGAAACAACTCTAAATGGCCGCAAAAGAAATCATGAAACATAGGCATAAGATCGTCCTTACTAATATGCCAACATTTCTTATAGAATTCGGCTGGAAACCCGTCTGGTCCCGGTGCTTTATTCGGTTTCATTTGGGATATTGCATCCAGGACCTCCTTCTCGGTAAAGGGTGCAGAGAGAATATCATTCTCCTCCACATGGAGCTGAGGTATATCTCTAATAACAGATTCATCTAGGGTCACCGTGCTTGCTTCCGGATGCCCAAATAGCTGTTTATAATAATTAGAGATATAAGCTTTCAAGTTCTCATGCCCCAAAATTGTCCCCTGGTCCTGCTCAAGCTGTTTGACTTTCTTCTTCCTATGTTTGCCATTCGCAATCATATGGAAGAATTGTGTATTGTTATCCCCTTGGACAACTTTGAGTACTATAGCACGCAATGCCCACTTGAGTTCTTCTTGTCTAAGAAGAGCTCGTAAGCCTTGTACAACTTCGGACTTGGAACTTTGTTCCTCCATCGTAAGGAGGTTACTTTTAGCTTTGAGATCGAGCACTTCAATTAAATGAGTGAGTCGCTCTTTTTCTTGCTTGTAAATCCCACTCTTGTTTCTGGCCCAACCTCATAAAAATTGTCGCTGATGTCTAATTTTATTTTGCATCTCTCAATACTAGTTCTTCTACTAACAGGTTTTGCCCATTCGCGTGCAATGATCTCTAAAAAGTTTTCTTTCTCGAACCAGCCTAGTTCCAAAGAGAAGGCATTCTTATTCGCGATATGAGCAGCCTCTCCCGAGTCTACAAGAAGTGGTGTGTGGTCTGAGATCGCTCTCTGCATCGCATGGACCGACACCAAAGGGATTTTTTCCCCAATCCACACTGGCGTGAACCCTGTCCAACTTCTCATAAGTCGGAGTGGGCAAAGTGTTGGCCCAAGTAAGTTGTCTACCGATGAGCTCAGTTTCTCTCAAATTAAGACTCTATATAATCATGTTAAACATCATGGACCAATGACCATCAAAATTGTCGTTATTTTTTCTCTCTCTCCTCCGAATTATATTAACATCCCCACCAACTAGGATTGGCAGAGTTTCGTCTCCATAGATCCGTACCAAGTTGGCTAAAAAATCAGGTTTAAGTTCAGGTTGTGCTGCCCCATATACAGCCACGAGAGACCACCGGAAACCATCCAATTTTGATCTCACCCGAAACTTGACCGCAAAATCACCCCGAACCACGTTAAGCACCTCACGTGTTTCAAATTGAACCCCTATTAAAATTCCACCAGATCTTCCTCTAGGAGGTAAGACATACCAATCAAAATCAATTCCTCCGGATAAAGTTCCAAGGAACTGTGAGGTAAAGTAATCTCGTCATGTTTCCAATAATGCTATAAAATCTAATGGTTGCTCTATTGTTGTCTCCAGTAAGAACCTTCGTTTAGCCAAGTCAGCTAGACCTCTGCTATTCCAAAAGATTCCTTTCATAATTCATCATGGATTTTTTTTCTTAAGCTTGACCCTAGCACTTCTACGAACAGCCGAAGTAGGATATATTTTCCGTTTCCAGGGACGCTTTGGCTTCTCCCCCTCATCCCTCGGGAACGTAGGATCGGTAGAAGATGAGACAGTGCCCTCCATCATTAGAGGATCTATAGTGTCCGTATTCTCTGACCCCTCCTCATCTTCGGCCTCCGCACTAGGTAAGAGATTATTGCATATGTTTTCAAGAGCAACCATTCCTAAATTTTTCAAGTCATCGTCGTTCATAGGTTTAAGTGATGCAAGGTTTTGAATTATCTCAGAAGCCCGCTCAGCTTCTAAGTCTAAATGGTCATTAATAGATTTCGCTATCTCCTTTTCATTTGAACCCAAAGTTATTCCTAAGTCGTTTGCCTTATCAATAATTTCATGCTCGGTGAAATGCATAATTGAACAACTCTTATCAAAAGACGTACCTGTAGTTGTCTCGACGTCGCGAAGCGTGGCCGCCCTCTTGGTGCGCGCTAACTGCAGGTCATCAACATCTGGTTGTCCCTGAATCCGGTCGCTGACACGCCTGCCAGCCGTGATCGGATCCGCGATCCCACCAAAGGCGACGAGCTCCTCCGTAGTCCTCTCCCGCGGCGAGTGCTCCCCGCTCCGACGTCCTCCCCTAGTTGTCGATGGAGAAGGGTAAGACGCAGTCTAGCGAGGATCACCAACCAAAATGGTGGGAGAAGGTGATCGTGGAGCCACCTGCTCGACAGTCACATTCTCCCCCAAACCGGCAGTGTGGTGTGGCAATGACGACAGAGAAGGAGATTCGTGGGCCTCCTGCCCGCGCTCCTGGCCGTGCTGTTTGGGACTGCCCCGCGGTGAGGTGTCATGGCGGGCCTCCATCACGCGCCCCTTCCCTAGATCGATAGGGACCGCCGTGGTTGGGCTAGGGATGCGGGCCTCCTGCCCATCATCCCCCACCAACGGTAGATGGCTGACCGCCGCGGATGGGCTGG